ACCATCACCTCTTGAATTCCAGTAGTCACACTTAACTGTTCCCTCTACACATCTGCTTTCTACCATAGAAATCTCTAAATGCCAAACTTCATCTTACCTCTGTTAGTCTCTCTGTCTTTGACTCTTTTCATATCATTTTATTCTTTCAATCAGTCTCTGGAAAACCTCAATTGTCATGCCCCAATTTCCTTCTGCACAAACCACCCAGCAAATTTCATACCTTGGATGAGTCAAACCATCAGCATTTTCCTGACAAGGTTGCTGGGAGCTACTGAGAAGACTCGGAATTGTAAAGATCATCACACTATTGCAAGTACATGGTCTCTGTCTTCAAGACTACCTAGAAGTCTTCCTACTTTCTGTCTGTCTTGCCATCTTCTATCTGTCACAATGGCTACTTCAGACCCTCACTACTCCCCAAAATTCCCCTGCCTAGAGCCAACCTACCTCCACCGTACCTGCTTCTTCCATTTTCCATAAATTATCTACTACATTTCAGAAGAAACAGTAATGAGATAAGAATCCCTCTTACCAAACCTAGAAATACCCAGTTGGGCTGGATCCACCCAGTGTTTCCTCCATATCACAATGAAGGAGGCATTCTGATTAAGGCTAATGCCCTGCTTAAGGCTAATCCTCTGCTGAAAGCTAATCTTGTCCTTTATACTCTGGATTCTATATGACATCCCCATCTTATAAGGCAGTGGTTCTCAAAGTGTGGTCCCTGGACCAGAGCACTAGAACTCTCCAGGAACTTGGAAGCAAACTCAGACCCCACTCTAAATCTACAGAGTCGAACACTCTGGATTTGGGGTCCAGTGACCTGTTTCTACAAAGCCTCCAAGTGACGCTATGGATGCCAATTTGAGAACTACTAAGACTTTTTCCCTTCTGTAGGAAATTCTTGCTTATTTCCTTTCCTATATCTTTAAACTATTTTTTGGCAGGGGGGAATTGAGACAGGGTCTCACTGTGTAGCCCTAGTTGATCTGGAACTCTCTATGTAGACCAGGTTGGTCTCATACACACAAAGATCCACCTGCTTCTGTTTCCCAAGTGCTGGGATTAGAGGTGTATGCCACCACATGCAGCTAACTTCTTTTTTTTTAATTTTTAAATTTCATTTTATGTGTATGAATGTTTTGCCTACATGTATATAAGTGCACTGTGTATGTGCAAAGCCCATGAGGCCAGAAGAGGGTGTTGGATCCACTGGAATTGGAGTTATAGATGGTTGTTAGCTGCCATGTGAGTGCTGGGAACCAAGCCTGGGTCCTCTGCAAGAGTGGTCACTGTTCTTAACCAATGAGCCATCTCTCTAGGCCCTAGCTTCTTTCCTCAAATATTTATTTTTATTTACTTACATGTGTGTTTTTGCCTACATGAATGCATGTGAACCATTTATGTGCAGTGCCTGTAAATGTCAGAAGAGGGAGCAGAGTCCTTAGAACTAGAGTTACAGACGGTTGTGAGCCACCATGTAGGTATTGGGAACTGAACTTGAGTAGCAAGGGAGGCAAGTGCTCTGAACCACTGAGTCATCTCTCCAGTATCTCTTTAACTTCTTTTGATAGCAAAGCATTTCTCTAGCCTGAAGAACCCCCTAGTTTATTGAGTCATATCCATTTTGTCCTTTTCTAATCTATTCATTATGCAGCAAGATATCTGATTACAGTTGTCCTTTTCATCTGTGGTTTCACTTTCCATGATTTAAGTAACCTCTCATCACTACAGTCCAAGAGATTAAATGGAAAATTCCAGGAATAGACAATTCATAAACTTGAAGTCACATGTGCCATTCTGAGAAGTGCGATTAAATTCTCACACCACCTGCTCCATCTGGACTGGGGCATAAATCTTCACTTTGTCCAGTGTATCCCTGCGGTACACACTTCCTGACTGTTACACACTGAGTAGCTATCTCAGTTATCAGATCAATTCTCTCAATATTGCAGGGCTTGCATTCAAGTAACACTTACTTTACTTAATAACTGCCTCAAAGCATAAGAGCAGTGATAACTGGGATTCCAGATCTCCAAAGAAAAGTCACAAGGTACCTCCTTTTAAGTGAGTATGGTGAAAATTCTCAATTTAATGAGAAAAAGGACCTAAGCTGACATTGCTATTATAAAATCTACATTAAGAATGAAATTACATGCATCAGTATGTATAGGGAACAATTACCAGCCTCAAGCATCTACTAGGGGGTCCTTAAAATATACTTCCCAGGGATAAGGGGAAACTCCCATGTGTCATTCCCCACTCAAAACTCCTTAATGACTTCTCACAGATCTTAAAAAGAATCTTTTTTTTCCCCCTTTTTTGGTTTTATTGTTTTCATTGTTTTGTTTTGTTTGTTTTAAGACAGGGTCTCCAGATGGCCTAGAACTTGCTATGTAGACCAGGCTGGCCTTGATCTCACAGAGATCCACCTGCCTCTGCTTCCCAAATGCTGGGATTAAAGGTGTGCACCCAGTGAGAAAGACTGTCTTAGGACCTGGGGTTGTGTATACCTCTCATGCCTCTTTTTTTCCATGACAGTTCTCTTTCTGTTTGTCCAGCAAGACTGATCTCTCACTGGGAATAGAGCTTAGTACTCGAGGGCTTGCTTAGCATGCATAAAACTAGGTCTAATCCCCAGTACAAGGAGAAAAAAAAAAAAAAGACTGGTCCCTCACAGCTTCCTTATCTGGCCATGCTCTAGGGCATCTAGCAAACTTTAACACTGCTACTCCTTTTGCTTGAGATATTCTTTCCCTGTTTCTTTTCTTCACTTACTCAAATCTCAGCTTAAACTTTTTTCTTACCGTATCCTAACCTTATACCTTAGTCTTTATTGTTCATGTTAGACTTCATACATATATAACACTGAAAAAATGAATGAGTAAAAATGATAAAGAAAGAAGTTCCTCTTAGATACTCTTACGGCACTCTGTACTCACCCTCTAAGAACTAAGATAAAGCATATAATTATCTTTTATATCCATTCATTATTATTGTGTGTATGTATATGTGTCCATGCATAATGTGTGTGTGGAGTCAGTTCTCTCCTCCCACCTTTATGTGGGCTCCAGGGATGGAACTTAGATCATCAGGCTTGCATGCCAAGTACTTTACTTGCTGAGCAATCTCACTAGCCCAAGTATGTAAGTATTTATTAGAAATGAAATGCCTGGGCTGGTGAAATGGCTTAGAGAGCAAAGGCGTTTGCTACATAAGCCTGACATCCTGAGTTTGATCCCTAGAACCCATGTAAAGGTTGAAGGAGAGAACCAGCTCCACAAAGTTGTCCCTGACATGTGCATCATTCTGTGTACAGAATGCTTTTTGCTGCTTTAGCCCTCTAGGGAAATCCTATACATCTTTCATAAAATGCTGACCATCTCCATTAAGTAATTCCTGCACATACACACCACCTGCCTGGTCAAATGAACCATTTTTTTTTCTTCGTGCTCTTACTGGACAGCATATACAAACCTGTCCATGCAATAATCATACACTATTGTAAAGACTTAGCTTGATGTTCAGGGTCCACTGAGGGCACAGGCTATGTTTTGCTCACCTTCACATACTTCTAGTGACATTGATAGTAGGTTTCCATAAATGTGTGTGGACATATTAAATCTAAGAGTAATATTCTTGGGGCTGGAGAGATGGCTCAGCAGTTAAGAATGTTCTTGCAGAAGACAGGGGTTCAGATCCCAGCACCCACACAGCAGCTAACAACTGTCCATGACTCCAGTTCTAGGGGATCCAACGCCCTCTTCTGACCTCCGCAGGCATTGTGTGACATGGGTGCACTTCCATACATGCAGGCAATACACACATACACATGAAATAAAAATAATAAAATATATTTTTTAAAAAAGTAGTATTCAGCCAGGCGTGGTAGTACACATGCCTGTAGTCCCAGCACTTAGGAGGCAGAGGCAGGTGGATCTCTGTGAGTTCAAGGCCAGCCTGGTCTACACAGTGAGTTCCAGGACAGCTGGGGCTACAGGGAGACCCTGCTTCAAAAAGACCAAAAAAAACAAACAAACAAACAAAAAAAGAGTAGTATTCTCTATGCATCAGGGAAAGGTTTTTTTCTTACATAGTAAAGCTGAATTCCAATCCTAGCTCTACTATTCATTAGTCGCATGAATCTAGGCAAATTGTTTAACCTCTTTGAGCCTCAGTTTCCTCACTAGTAAAACAGAGCTAATAATACTACTTGGAAATATTGCTATGAAAATTGAACAAAATGACATAGTACAATGATTAGCACACATAGCGCCTGGCATATAATAGACCCCCCCCCCTAGTTTCAATTTGACAGAGGCAACTAGGACAAAACAAATACAAAAATAAGTCACAGTAATCAAGGGAGACTGAGCATAGAGTGAGTCATTCCTTTTAATCATTTTCCCAGGAAGATCAACAATGAAGAAACATAATAAGCAGAATAAGCTCTACTGGTTTGCATGTCCCTTGGCATATACAGCTTGGTGAGAATTCACCCCAGACACCTCTTGGCTAATAGACTCTTCCGGCTTCCCAGCCCAGAAGGTCAGATCTTGGTCTGCAGTATCAGGCATAGTTAATTCCGACTGGAATAGAAACTAACTCATAAGTAATGTGTTTACAGATGGGGAGAAGGAGGAGAGAACTTGACTGCAACCACATCAATTGACTGTTTTGCAATCTGGCAGAAAACACTACAAAACCGTTGGTAGAGACTAACACCCACACAACTGCACTTACCTGTAGCCAAGACCCAGTTTAGAATAGATAATGAACAGCTTTCTGCTTTAACCAAAACAATTGTCAGACATGTACAAAATGAACATTTCCTAAGATCAAATTGTCTTGTACATCTAGGCAGCATCTATAAAGACAATAGCAGTCAGCTTTACACATGCACTACCTACGAGCACTGTCCACAAGCATCAACTGCACTGCTCATACATGGAAGTGGAAGAACAGATTTCAGTTCCTCTGTTCCTCCATAACACACTTACCTCTGCAGGGGCACTGCTATTCACAGCACCTACTTCCTGGGAGTGGTTCACTTTAGAAGGCTGTGTCACTACAGATGGAGTCACATCTTCACTGAGACTGTCTCTCTTCTGACGTTCTCTGATTAAGCTCTGCTGGTCACTGGAGGATACAGCGGGTGTGAATGGAGCCCTGGGTGGGCTCTGCCTCCTCCAAGATGTCCTGCTCCAGCTTAGCCCCAGAAGATATAGTACATCATCTCCAGATAGAAAGCCCAAATCATTTGTAGTTTGAAATTTTTTAAAAAATATCAACATGGATTTGGAAGAGTCTGTCCTAAAAGGTTGGCAGCTCTGGGGCTTGCTACAGTCTGCCAGAAAGCACATCCCTTCTAGCCACCAAAGGGCATGGCAGGCAGAGTCCTGGCAGCAGGTATCCCAACACAACTGGAGAGAGGGGGTTCCCTTAAGAAAATGAAGGTGACTTTCTCCCCCAGCTCTCAGGCCAGCTCCATGCTGTATCTTCCCCTGCTGGCATCTGCTCTCATTGGCATCTAAAAACAAAGAATGAAAACACTTTAGGATAAACCAAACAGACTACTGTTCCATGAAGATCCCTGAACACCAACCTTTGAAGCTATTTTGAAGACAGGTTTTGTTTTGTTATTGCTGTCTTGCGTGAGTTTGGTTCCCTGAAACAGGGTCTCACTATGTAGCCCCTGGCTGGCTGGAACTCACTATGCAGGTAAGGCTGACCTCGAGATTACTCAGAGATCTGCCTGCTTCTGCCTCCAGAGTGCTGGGTTTAAAGGCACCATCCCCAGCTGAAGACAGATTTTTTTTTGGGGGGGGGTCTTTTTGAGACAGGGTCTCCCTGTAGCCTCAGCTAGCTGGCCTAGTGCTCACTATATAGACCAGGCTAGCCTTGAACTCACAGAGATCCACATGCCTCTGCCTCCCAAGTGCTGGGATTAAAGGCATGCACCACCACGCATGGCTTGAAGACAGACTTTTTATTCTTTCTTTTTGAGACAAGGTCTCCCTGTAGCCCCAGCTGTCCTGGAACTTACTATGTAGACCAGGCTGGCCTTAAACTCACAGAGATCCGCCTGCCTCTGCCTCCCAAGTGCTGGGACTACAAGCGTGTGCCACCAGAAGACAGATTTTTTAAAAGGGTAATCAACCTGTTGGGGCTGGAGAGATGGCTCAGCTATTAAGAACACTGACTGTTCTTGCAGAAGACCCAGGTTCGAATCCCAGCACCCACATGGCAGCTAACAACTGTCCGTAACTCCAGTCCCAGGGAATCTGACAGCCTCTTCTGACCTCCATGGGCACTGCACGACACGGGTGCACTTACCTACATGCAGGCAATACACACATACACATAAATTTTTTTCTTTTAAAAAAGGGTAATCAAACTGTCTAGTGAGTAGAACAGAAGAAAAGACAGTGTTCTGTGGTTCAGAATGTTTTAGTTTATGAGAAATGCTCCACATTCACTGAGGTTCTCTTCTTAATGAGTTGCTGTCATGTAAAGCCTTTACAAGTAATCTCAATTTATGAAATAAAATATAGCAAAAGCAAACAAGGTGTCTGTCAGGACAGTGGACTATGAGACCAGAAATATAGGTAGATAAATAAGCTGGAATAGTTTCTTTATTGAATGGATAGCAACACAAGCTCTTGACCTCATGCAGGTTAAAGATACATTTTCTCAATAATCACCTGCCAGTCACAGGGCATCAGCCAAAGCAGTGGTGAAAGTTACGAAAAAAAAATTTTTTAATATTTAATTATTTTTATTTTATGTGCATGGCAGTATTGTCTGAATGTATGTAAGTGCACCCATGTCATGCAATGCCCATTGAGGTCAGAAGAGGGTTTCCAATCCCCTGGAGCTGGAGTTATGGACGGTTGCTAGCCACCATGTGGGTGCTGGGAATCAAACCCTGGTCCTCTGCAAGAACAGCTAGTGCTCTTAACTGCTGGGCCATCTCTCCAGCCCCCAATTACAAAAAATTTTAATCAAGAGAGAAATTATCCTAGACAGAATTTCTGAATGATAACCCAGGCCAAGATAAAAAGAAATAAACAAATAAAGGGAAAAATCCATACAGTAGTATCCTGCTGTGGGTCAACTAGATAATAATATGATCCAAAAGTCTGCTCATGTTGTTTATGGATATAAACTTTGGGCAGTTGAACTATTTCAGCATGGAACTGATCTTCCTACTCATTAGCTCACTGATATCTTCTTAGATGAAGTAAAGACAAAGCATGCTTTAAATGAAAGTTGTGAGCTCTTTTTTTCCCAGTACTGGAGATTAAATATAGAGCCTCAAACATGTCTGTAAATAATCTCCACCAAGCTACATCTTTATCCCCTTTTTACTTATTTTGAGATATAGTCTTAATAAGGAGCTCAGGCCAGCTCTGAACTCACTCCAAACTAGCTGAATTACAGACCTGTACTTGGCATATAAAAACTTTTTTTTTTTTTGCCTCAAACTATTTAGCTGCGCTCCACCTCTCAAGTGATAGAACTGCAGTCATGCATACCAAGCCCAGCAGAGAATGCTTCTTTAAATTTCATGTTGTGGGTGCTTCTCTTTCTTCACCTTAGTCCTGCCCCTGAAGTTATAATATAGAAAATACATTTGAAGGCCAGGTATGGTAGTGCACACCTTTAATCCCAGCACTTGGGAGGCAGAGGCAGGCAGATCTCTGCGAGTTCAACACCAACCTGATCTACACAGTGAGTTCCAGGACAGCTGGGGGCTACACAGAGACCCTGTATCAAAAAGACAAAAAAAAAAAAAGAAAATATATTTGAGGGCTGGGTGATAGCTCAGTGGTTAAGCATTTGCCACCCAAGTGTAAGGACAAGAGTTCAGATCCCCAGAACCCATGTAAATGCCAGGTGGGTGGGGGGACCCACCTGTAATTCCAGCCTCAGAAGGCACAGACAGGGGATCCCTAGAGCAAGCTGGCTAGTAAAACTAGCCATATCAGTGAGCTGTCAGTTTGATTGAGAGACCCAGCCTCACTGAATAAAGTAGAGGAGTAATGAAGGATTCTGGACATTAACCAGGCCCCCACACGAACATGCACCCCAAATGTAGGTGCACACGTGTGCCCAAACGTGAACATGCATATACACACACACATACACACACAGGAAAGTGTAAAAAAAAAAATATAT